GCTCGCGCGGCTGCATTCTGGATAAGCTGAAGTCTCAGAATGCTCTTCAAGGGCTGCCCCATGTAGAGTGCATTACGTAGTTTCCCTTTCTTTGTTTTAAACATCTTTTCTATCAGCATCATTGAGTAATCCCTTCACTAGAAAATGCTCCCCCTCCATATTCTCTGTCATTCATTTTATTTTATACACTATAATTCTCTCAATAGTCTTTTTTTTCCTAAGGAGTCCTCAAAAATCTAGAAAAAAAATCTTCAGGGCTTTCTGATCATTTTGCTTCTCTTTCTCTATAGTTATTGTGCCCTTTCTCAAATGCAAATACCAAAATTGTACACAGCATTCCATATCTAGACATACCATAGATTTGAGCAAGATCATTACAATGCTGACATTTTTATTTTCAGTCTTTTTCCTAGCCTGGTATTTCCCTTTTTCATATCTGTTGCACTCTGAAGTGACAACTTCGTTAAGATCAGGGTCTTTCTAATGTCTTAGCATTCTAAACAAGTAGACTTCAAGTCCCCAAATTCCCAGCATTAACCATACTAGAACTCTGGGAGTTGGTCTGCACATCTAGTGAGCATTCAGGCTGAGGATAAACTGAGGTGAGGACTGTATTGAGTTTTATTCCAGATCCAGCTCTTAAAATCAAAGTGCATATTCCTTGAAGTAATAATTGGACCAGATGGAACTCTGGTCCAGATGGACCAGATGGAAAAGTGATAAAAGAATAGTCCAAGTTAAATGTACATCTGCTGACTCTTTAAGAATACTTTTCATGATTATAACTGTACAAACAGATACTGCAGTTGCTCTTAGCCAAAAGGCCTTTAGTTTTCTCCCTAAATTAAAGTACAATTTAAACAGATTTCAAAATGAATGGAAAAAAATTAAGTGCCTTTTTCCATTCATTTTGAAATTTGGTTAAATTGTTCTTTAATTTAAGGAGAAAACTAAAGGCCTAAACTAAATTGTTCTGTTAATGGCTGAGGCCTTGAGTTCTGTAATTCTGTCATTAAAGAAGTTGTCATTTAAAAAGGTGTCCACCTAAATTCTAGTTGTTAACTTTGCAAGTATATTAGTTGTAACCTTAAATTCCCAGATTAATTCATAGATTATGTATTGCCTGTACTTGATCTGCAGTTCACAACTCTATCTATAAGGGAAGAATAAAGAGATAAAACTGAATTATATAAAATGTCAATTTATTGAGTACATACTCTTTGTCTTGTACCATGTTCTTATCAAGACGCATGTTGGGCTGATGGCTTCCATCCATGTGATCCTCTGCTAAAGAGATAACGGAGGTAGCAAGGATAATACAGCAGAGAATATCTATGCTATAAATCCTTGGATGTACCATAGCCGCCATATTCTATTAAAAAAAATACAATTTATAATGTAATACTTTAAGCATAAAATTAAGAGTCTGCTGCTTATTTGCAAACACTGCTTTTAAGACTAAATATCTCAAGCATAAATTCCACTGCTTCTACAAGAAAAGAATACTATACATCCTCACCATAAGCACCAAAAATGCATCTCAAAACTTTATCTTTCATTTTCCCTTTGCTATATGTGAATAAAATTAATAAGTTGAAATATTATGTATTTCAAATTATTGTGATTTTTATTCATATATATTACAATTTAATATGGTCAGAGATTTTTAAAATAGGCACAATAATACCTTTAAACAAATCAATTAAAGATAGATGAATAGCTATAACAAATTACTCTGGCACATATGGCTTTTTAACATTACGTGTACATTTGGCTGATGTAAATATTTCATAACTCTTAAGACGAAGCCAAGCACAACTTTTTTTCCCTACTCAACCCCACCTATTCAATATGCACCAGCCATCACTACCTATCAAAAAATATCGCTATGTACTGAACTTTGAATTGTAATTTTTGAAGTCATGTCAATAAACCTTTAAGTTTGGAATCACAACAATTTTCCGAAACAGTTAATTCATTGACTTTATCTTGCAACTATATGAGACAAATTTTGCAATAGGTTTACGTAAGAGTAAACTCACGTATGAGTTTTACTGGATATAACACCATACTAAGTTGCAAAACTTATTCCCTGAGCCTCTCAAACAACTGATATCTAAATATGTTACCAACATTGAAAACAATTAGACCCTTACCATAATATTATGAAAAAGTATCCAGTTTTACCAGACATAACACAATGTTGCATTTGTAAAACTTTTTCCTTAGAGCCTTCAAAACAGCTGAATGGCAAATATGATATCAATATTGCAAGCAGACAGAACTATGTATTATGAAAAAGTATCCATATTGGCTTCAAAACTGTTTGAACTTACGTTCCTCCAAATAAATGTCAGAATTCAGATACCATTTGATACAATACAA